ACACTCTTAAACTGGAATTTACTATTTGTGTATTCAGTTGGGCTTACAGCAATTATAGTACTTTCATGGAGTGTAGGTAGCAGTATCATAGAATTCAGATCACGTTATTAGCGAATTGTTAATTGCAGTATGCATAGCAAATCAAGTCAAATTATTACTGTTGTTTATAGCAGCAGCAGCAGGAAGTATCTGGTTGTAACTTACATGAAATTTCAGTGATAACGCATGGGGTAAGCAACTCTTAAAATGAAATAGGCTTTTATAACTTCGTTTATTTACTAGGGCGTACAGGGATTTTGTGAACTCTTCAAAGCGAAATAGGCATTATTTGTTTGCGTTTCATTGTTTAATAAAGACACTTATAGTAATATTAAGTACTTTCGTGCAGCTGTAGCAGCAGTATGCATAGCTATTCAGATCGCGATTTTTAGTGAATTTAATAGCAGCAGAATGGTCTGTAGTTTACATTTTCATTATTATTTATTCATTTTTCAGACGCTTTTGTCCAAAGCGACTTACTATTGCTGAAGTTTCAGTGACTTAAAATGGATGGTATGTGAACTCTTCAAGCAAACAGGCATTATTTTGTGTTTCGTTTATTTAATAGGGACTTATAGCAATTCTAAATACCTTTGTGTATATATATATATATATATATATACAAACAATTATAATATATATAATTTGAAAAACTTTCATGCTTATTTTGTGGGGGGAAAACATTTGGAAATCTTTTATTGATTTTTTTTTGCAAATCATTAGATTTTTTTCTTCAACATGCAGGGCTGTGTAATGTATGAAGAGTTCAGATGCAAAAGCCTCTAAGTGCTGTTTGAACTTTTCTTAGAAGAAAATTCATATGCAGATATTCTATCTTAACCCGTTTAATCACAAATTTTTCCCAGACATGAACATATCCAAATGACATGTCATTAATAACCCTTTGAAATAATCTTTTTTTTGGAAAAGTGTGTGAAAAATTGTGTTTTATGGTCGGTGGGATAATGTGTGTATTGAATTAACATATTTCTGCAGTCATAAAAATTGTTATATATCTTAGCCCAGCTATTTTAAACAGTTTGATCACATTCTAGGGTTACTATTATGCATAAAAAACCCTTATACAACATCGATAGGAATACTGAGATAAAAGACAAAAAATACAACCATCAACATATTTCAAAATTGTTACTTTTTTGTAACATATATCATTACATTTTTATATTAGTGCTACCAGTATTACAACATCGATATTATAATTGTAACATTTGAACTTTTAATTTAGTGCAATATTTTGTCATTGCAACCTTTTAGTGCAATTTTCACTAACAACTGCAACTGGATTTATATTTATACCTAAATTCACTGTTATCACTATTGTGACCATCAACGTATTTACTCATTCTATAACCACACTCAACAAAACTGAATATATGTGAATTCATATATTAATACTAGACACCTTAAAGATAATGTGTAGAATCAAGGACCGGAACTATCCGTTTTATAATAAGGTTTTTAGAGCTTTATAAATTAAAACCTTTTTTAGGGTCACTATTGTGGTCCAGTGGAATTAAATGGGTTAATACATTTATTTATTTCTTGTTGCATGCCTAGTGGAAACTCGGCTCACCTTTAGCAGCTTCAACGATGACTTTCAGTCCGTTGTGCTCTAGCACGATCATCTTGGCGTGTTCATGGGCGTGTCCAAAGGGCACACGCACGTCATCATCAAAGGTCATGACCCTCAGCGCCACACAGGCCTCCCTCACGACCTCGGGGTGCTCGATGTGGCGTGTGATGCTGGCGGAGAGCAGCAGCAGCATGCCTGCCTTCACCAGATCCTGCCGGTTGTTCTCGTGCTTCAGACAGCAGTGTCGCACGACACGGATACACAGACAGCTGAGAGCGGCGTCCGTCTGGTGCGCAGTCAAAGCGCCCATCAAAAACTCTCGCCCTTCCACATCCAGCAGATCCGGCTGGCCGTCAATCAGCGCAGAGAGCGCGGCGAGAGCGACGGAAAGGGCTTCCTTCTCTCCAGCGGCTCTCTGGCAGCAGGCGAGGATCGTGGGATACGCCTCTTTTTGAGCGGCCAGGTATCGCTGTGCGAAGCCGAGAGAGCACTGCTGGGTGAAGGCTCTCAGATCCTCCAGAACGGATGCGGACGATGAAGCCACTGCAGTTTTGAGAGACTCCAAAGCCTGGAAATACGCCACCGATAACACTGTTAAACACAAAACACGCCAGTCTCTGTGGAAGTGAGGTCAGTTCTGCAGCATAAACATCTCGTGTGAAGAGTAGTAGTAAACAGTTGTGCTCATAAGTTTACATACCCCTTGCAGAATGTGCAAAATGTTAATAATTGAAGCAAAATCATGAAAATTGCATGTTATTTTTTATGTAGTACTGTCCCGAATAAGCTATTTCACATAACATATGTTTACATATACTCCACAAGACAAAATAATAACTGAATTTATAAAAATGACCCCATTCAAAAGTTTACATACCCTTGAATCTTAATACTGTGTCATTTCTTGGATGATCCACGACTGTTTTTATATTTTGTGATAGTTGTTCATGAGTCCCTTGTTGGTCCTGAGCAGTTCAAATGCCTGCTGTTCTTCAGAAAAATCCCCAGCTCCTGCACATTGTTTGGTTTTCCAGCATCTTCTGCATATTTGAACCCTTTCAAACAGTGACTGTATGATTTTGAGATCCATATTTTCACACTGAGGACAATTGAGGGACTCATACACAACTATTACAAAAGGTGAAAACATGTACTGATGCTCAAGAAGGCCACACGATGCATTAAGGGCTTTCTTAAAATGCATTTTTTTAAGTTCATGAAAACTTTTGAACAGGATGATGATGTATAAATTCTTCTCATTTTGTTTAACGATCATATTTTTTTTCATTTAGTACTGGACTTCAGAAGCTACATAAATACTTACAAGTTTCCCAGAAGAAAATAAGTACAATTTACCCTGATCATCCAATTTCATCCAATGGCTCTTAATGCATTGTGTGGCCTTCTTGAGCATCAGTACATGTTTTCACCTTTTGTAATAGTTATAACCAAAGAATGTGCAGGAGCTGGGGGATTTTTCTGAAGAACAGCAGGCAGTTAACAGTTGAACTACCAACAAGGGACTCATGAACAACTATCACAAACTATAAAAACAGTCGTGGATCATCCAGCATCCAGGACACAGTATTAAGATTCAAGGGTGTGTAAACTTTTGAATGAGGTCATTTTTATAAATTCAGTTATTATTTTGTCTTGTACATGTAAACATATGTTATGTGAAATAGCTTATTCACAACAGTACTAAATAAAAAATAACATGCAATTTTCATGATCCCTCTAATTTTGTTTCAATTATTAACATTTTGCACATTCTGCAAGGGGTATGTAAACTTATGAGCACAACTGTATTTTTATTTAATGCAATGTCAGCATCTAAGGCTATTTTCATGGCAAAAACAATTTAAAAAATACAAGTATAACAAATACAATAAAAACCAGGAAACAAACAAACACACGTTATATTACGCAAGACTTTTTACCTTAACATATGATAAAAATTCTAAAACTTTTTCTGGCAAAATTATACTTAACTCTTTAAGTGAGTTCACTTCATAAAAGGATTTTCTACATACATTAAATAGCACCACAAACACATTAAAATCTACAAACTA